CGTTTCGAGCACAATTTATTGCTCATAATCATATCAAGGTAATCACACGACTTCCTAAATTCATTTATATAGTTCCATTGTTTTTCACTTGATATGATTCGTAGTAATATTTTCCATATTTCGGGTATGAGTGATGAATCATTCCTATTGCATGTGTTGAGTGTAGATTCGATGAACAAGGATTCAGTAATCGACTTCTCTCTCCACCTACCTAGATTACTTTTTAGAGTTTTAACCCCCTCCCACCCTATTGTGTGGTTGTGTGCTAATGCGTGCATTGCAATTGCTGAGCTTTTTTCTAAATTACTTATCTTCTCTGGGTCAACCATTCTTACCTTAGCTAAATTCTTATGTTCTGACAGTCTGACTACCCCTGACCCACTAATCTGACCTATGTAGTTGATCTGACTCACAGTCATTGCAGGGTATTTTGTAAATTATATTATTTTGTCTAATTGCGTCAACCGACAGGGCCCTGTAACCTACAGAGCTTGTCCCTGAGTGAGTTTTTAGGTTTAAGTGCCACCCTAATTCCTGCTTTATTTAGAATCCCACGTAGGGTTTTAGATGTCCCCTCTTTATATGCTATAACTATAGATGACTTATATTCTCTCTTATATATGTTATTATTACTAGTTTCACAATTCTTTTTATTTTTCTTTTGGCCTTTTTCAATCTTCCTGATGAATTTTAAAGGGTAGTTATTTAACACCAACGCCTCTTCTATCTGTTTTATCTCATCATCTAGGTATTTTTTGTGCTACTTAGTGCCATTGCTCGGTTTGTTAAACACTTAACTAAGCCTGCCTTAACAGTTAAAGGATGAGATGAATTAAAGTCTAAATATCTATTAGAATGCGTTGGTTTTCTATAAACACTAGTGTGTAGTTTGCCTTCTTCTATTCGTTGTATTTTACAACCTAACGAAGCTAATTCTCCTTGCTCATTTTCAGCTTCAAATGTGAATTTTCTTCCCTCCACTAGTGAGTTTATGTGTGTCAAGAAGCTAGAGATATGTTCTGTTTTTGACATTTTGAAAGTGTCATCCACATATCTCCACCATATTTTTGGAGTAGGATTAAACGTATTAAGAGCCATATTTTCCCAGCTATTCATAAATATATCTGCTACGATAGAGGATATTGGGGATCCCATTGCTAAACCTTCAGTTTGTCTATATATTTTGCCTTGGAATTTCAAGATAGTAGATGTGAGGCACAAACGAATTCCTAAAATAATTTCATCAATGGGTAGTTTCGTCCTATAAGTGAGTTCAGGGTCTGCAGTTAATCCTTTTTTAACTGCCATTATTACTACGAATCATATCAAGTGAAAAACAATGGAACTATATAAATGAATTTAGGAAGTCGTGTGATTACCATGATATGATTATGAGCAATAAATTGTGCTCGAAACGTTGTCATCAGTAAACATTACTGTATAACACTGTGAGACTTTATCAAAACAAAATTTACCCATAATGGAATTACACTCTACCACAGTGCACAAGTTTTATTCTTATATCAGTGTTACTGAATTTAGTTCCAGCATTTGTATTCATAATACGTTGTTGATGATCATGCGATAAGGTGACTGCTGTAGTTTAATTGCCTCTGTTATTTCTGGGAATTTCGCTATTGTTGATAACAGCTTTCGTTTCTCAACATATTTAATGTGACTTTCCTGGATCTCTGGTGACAAAAAGTAAACCAGCACTAGTTAGGTGCAATTTATGCTCAGGTAATTAGTTATGTAGTGACTTTGCGTTATCCGTGTTACTTTTTAACGGGAAATGTTGAATAATATTGCAGTAATGGGCTTAAGCTCCGGCGGATTGATGAGTAAGCAATCGTTGTGTGGCACTTTCCAACTACACCGCTACTTTATTTTTCGCCTTTAACCACATATTTGTTACCCCAATTTAATCAATTTCCCCCCGTCTTCACCAATATTTTCCTCAAAAGTCATTTACTCCCTTTCATGGCAACCTGTCAATTTAAAATGTATTAGTAGAGAAATAGTGCAGGTGATGGTTAACTGAACGTAACCGTTAATTTGATCACCGTTGTTGGTTCGATGGCATAGAACTCCGTAAGTGCCACTAATTCCTCTGACGGGCATAACTTGTCTGCCTGAGCATAGGAGTCTCCTGCTAAAACGACCAAATGCAGTAGTTTTGCCATTAGACAGCTTACGTTAGTGCTCACCCTTCGCTTAACGTGATGTTTTCTACAGTAATATTAATGATGACGTTTCGAGCACAAACTATTGCTCATAATCATATCAAGTTGATATGATTATGAGCAATAGTTTGTGCTCGAAACGTCATCAGTTCATATCGCTATAACACTGTGATTTATCAAAATAAAATCTTATCTATAATGGAGTTATAGTTTACCACAGTGCCTAAGATTTATACTTATATCAGTGATAAGTTTTGTTGGGGCGTATGTCGAGACTATGGTAAGTCGTCGGTGGATATCGCAGTCTTCCCTTTTAGCAAATCCGTTCAGATGAACACCATGAGCGACTTCCCACTGGGATCCAGCCAAATAGAGATTTTTCCTCCCCAGCACTCAAAACCACAGCTTCGCCTATAAATCGTCGCGAACTGGCCAAGAAATCTCTTGAAATCCATTGAGTGGATTTTACAGAACTATCTTATTAGCCAAATAAGGTTAAGTGAACCGTCATACTTAGACCTTGCATGCGTGTATTAGAAGTACAACCATGACTCGCGACGCCAGACTTCTGACCAATGTAGCATGTTGTCCGATTTGGCAGACGGTTTTGATGTTGAATACTCCAATCTCTAGTTAGCAACGCGGTTCTACGAGACCATCAGTATTATTTTTCAGGCTCTTTTTGCAATGAATGATCGCCTAGATAAGTTATGAGGGATCTACCTGTGGAAGAGTGATAACTGTGGCAATAAAGTAAGATTATAGAAGTTAGGGAGATAAAGTTGAGTAACTAGAAAAGTTTTGTGCGTGGCTATCGCCCAAGTACTTGAGACAGAAGTATTGCTGTGTGACGGATAAACAAGGAACAACTGCTTGAGGCAGCCTATTCGAAGTATTATTATCTCAACTCACCGTGTAATTCAGATTTCGACCAAAAATGTACGGCTCTCCATGACTGTCATTTGACCTCATCATGGGTAACTTTGCATGTTTGTTCGGATTATGAACTACTAGGTAACACTTAAAATATGATATTAACTGCTTTAAGAATAATAACCTGTGTCTCAGGTGATACACCTTAGATAGGTTATTAATAATACATCCAGTCCCACACACTACAGTAACATGAAAGGTGTGAAAAGGATTTATCACCCCGGTACCTATGTTTTCCGTCTCAGTGTGAAACTACACGCCTATTACATGCTGTTATAAGTATGGAATAATTAAGTTACGTATTCTAGGTGGAAGTAGATGGAGGAAGACTCGTAATATATAATCCACCAAGTCCATCCAAAAATGCTTTTTTTACCTGTTAATCCATATTCAAATTCTAACAACTATTCTGGCAATGTGATAACTTTGCTGTTCAGTTCTTATCTACACGAATGCACTGATAACTCATTGCAGGCGCTGACACTAACCAATTAAGAGATTTAAACAAAGTCAAGATTATATTCTGCGCAGCTTATTGTGTTGTAAACTTGAGTAGAAATTAGTATGGTTGTTTTTGAAAATTTCATACGTGTTATTTTATTCAGCAGGCTCTCATAAGGAGCAAACTGCCCGAAATTACAAGAAGTAAAAACGGCATACTTTCAGTAACAGAATACCATTACTTTCGAGCATTTCTGGTGCAAATTATGGTCAATTTATATGCATCACTAAGGAGAAACTCCATAAGTACCAAAGTGATAAACGACAGGTGTAAGCTTATGTTGGTAACGACAGTACAACAGAGTTGAGTAGATATACATGGAAAATTCTCATCGGGACATACAGGAAATCAAAACAGGTGATTCTGTGAAGAGACTGTAACGCATTTATTATCAAGCTATACATTCGTATTTAAATAGTTTTTAAGAAATTACACACGGGGCCAGAATTGAATTAAGTGTAAACACACAAAATAATAGCATGAAATTCAATTAAAATAATTGTGACTATGAACATAGTTAAATGTTGTGTCAATACAATCGCATATATAGAACAATTCATAGGATGTATAAAACTTGGAAGGGGTGTAAAATTTCTTACAAACCATATATATACGATTGTACAGCTTGATAATAAATTCATTGAAGAGTTCGCTAAATCGCTTGTTTTGATCTTTAAGTAGGTATGTCTACAGAAGAAGTGAGTACTGATGGAAAGCGCTCTGGAGAGAACGGATTCAAAACATATGATTCATCTTATCACTTGTCAGTTTTTAGGAACTAAAAAGCATTAGATGCTTAGTGTTGTCGATGAAATGGCTTCATTTTCAGTTATTTTTTTAATTACTGAGGTACTTTTTAACGAAGAAACAGTTACAGTAGTTTCTGGTGGAAATGGTTCCAAGATAGAAGGAAAATATCTGGAGTGATGAAGCACGTCTGTGGCACCTACGGTGTAAAATATGACATAGATATGCTACAACAGCCTTCAATTTGGATTTATTGAAGGCCAAACCAAGTGATCTACGTACACGGAAGTGATTAAACGTGAAGACGCACTGGACAAGACTGTCTTAAATCGAACAATTATTTCGGTCAAAATGTCAGTATTTTCGACCAGGTTAATCTAAATAATGCGTGTTTGTTCTTGAGAAGCTTTTTTGTAACATGTTTTAAACGTAATCTCGTTCTTAGTGTTTGTAGGTACGCCATATTCTGAAAATGAAGACGCTACATCCTCAGAGTCGAAAAGCTGCTCAAGAAAAAAAGCATCTACATCATGTGCAACGCGTTGCTAAGTAAGTCAACCAAGTTTTCGTACTAATTTGTGCAGAAGACAGAAGCAACATGACGTAAAAATGAAAATACTAAGTAGGTAACACATATGAAGTTTTCAAAAGCAGTTTCGAAATTATCTTGGTTCCGTGATAATCTACCAAGCGAATGTTTATCCATGAAACAGGATGATGTTAAAAAACTTATTTCGAGGTATGAAGCGGATTCATTTCTATTTTAATAGATACTTACAACGTAATGGAAGAAACGTGAACACTAAATCACGACCTGTATCAATTTCCACCGACATTAATAATCTGTATGTTGAACAAGAATATCAAGAGTATTCGACGTGTGGAATCGAAATTCCAGACTTGACCTCAAAGCTGAATGTCGAAAGCCTCCGGTAAGCTTTCATAATTTGAGCAGTTATTTTGTTGCAGTATGTGGAATGGGAACCCTGACAAAGTACATACAATTGTCATGACTACTGTAAGAAATTCAAAACAATAGTGTTTGTACAAGTAGAAAATATATTAATCTGTGAATGCAGTAGTTACTTTTCGACTAAATCGATGGGTTGAACAGTGGATAGATGTTAGCATATTTTGAGGGGAGTTGCTCTGATCTTCACAGCATGCACGACAAACTGATCGGACACAGTTTACACTCTAAAAGAATATAAAAAATTGGGACAAACTTTCGTTAATAGGTGATTAAGAAACGACATTTATACCTTAATAAACAAAAAATTTGGAAGCAAAACTGAAAGTCAATTTTAAATCCATTTTATCGCGATGTGATGATATATAGATATGAATGAAGAAGACGGAATCACACGGGTTAGTGAGAGACACTGGTTAGTAGATGTCTTAGATGAAAGCAAAAATAAGTACGGGGACATGGAATGCTCGCACGACGTTTGAATCTGTGAAGGCTGCTCAGATTGTTTAAAAAATGAAATGTGGTGTAGAAGTACTAGGAATCCGTCGGGAGCATCGAATGGAAGTGGACTCTAAAAAGGAACCATACAACCACGAACATCGAGGGGTGGACTATCATGACATTCCCAATAGCAATGAAGGCTTCGACGTAGTGTACTGCTGGCAAGACTCATCAGTAGTTTATAATGAAACGTTTATCGGTATAAAAATATCAGATAGCGGAGGAACACATTTGACGTCAATAGAGGAAGTGTATCACTATTGCGGTAAAACATAGGAGACGCGAAAAGAAGGCTAAGAAACACAATACAAAGGGCAGAAGTAGCACATCACCGAAGATTCGTGCAAATGACGACTTTTAGACAAAATGTACATCATTCTACTACATGTGTACGTCAAATTGCTAATAAGCATTCGGTTACCAAGTCTCTTGTCTTCGCCAGCTACAGTGGAACCGAAATACTGCAGTATGATGATAGTAAAGTTCAAGTGAAAAGGTGGGGAAGCTACTCAATGCTATGCTCCTACAGACAACTCTAAGAAGTAATCGACAAGACCTCAAGCAGTTAGATGGCAACATCAAATTTTTAGTAGTCAGTTAAACTGGGAGCCGACTCATCATGGGTGTATAGGTGTTCGGTGGGATGAATAACAACTGAGAATTCTTCGCGGATTTCTATGCTTTTTAGTGATCTGGTAGTAGCAGGCAGTGTCTGCGAGCACAAATGCAGGGCGGCGTGGGTTTCACCAGATAGACTACATCTCAATTTCAAGGAAGTGGAGATCTAGTCCTCTAGACACGAAATAGAGAGGAGGGACACTAGAACTCTCTCAAAATGATGTAGGAATAAACCTTTGTAGATATCTTAGCCAATAAAAAGCGTGAATGGGAAAGTCTGAATTATTTATCTGAAAATAAGTTTAACCTTCTTCTTGAGTTCTGTTTGATTAAATCAGTTTTCAGTAAATGCTGATTATGTTTCACTCTACATCACTATTAATCACACCGTCTAACGTGCGTTTAAACTCAATTGATTGAGTTTCACTCACTCTAATTTTATTCGGAGACTTCGATTTCTTACATAAGTGCTGCAATTCGCTATGGCTAACTTAATATTACTATTTATTCATCCATATACAATGGTGGTTCTTAATTAGCGTTTAACAGTTTGCTACTCCAAAGAACTAAGGTGTGTTTAAACTTTAATAAAACCAACTTAGCAAAATGGATCTGGTTTATCCTTCTTCCCATGTTGTTACAGCTTTGTTTAAATTTCTACAGCAGACGTGTCAAACACCGTATTTTAACAGCATGTTCACCCGAAGGTAATATTTCACCTACTTACTCCCGATCAACTAGTTTTTGACACCGTTAGCGAGTTTAGGTGGCATTAGGGAGTTGAAGCTGTAAAAATACCAAAGAGATTTGAAATCTTCAGTAGTATGACAACTTTTCAGGATTCCATTCAGCAATAATAAATTTCAAAGTATCTATTCCTAAATTAGTATGCGAAGTGTAGACCGAAAGGGGAAAAACATGAGTTAATGTAATTTAAACTGGTGTGCGCGCCATTGGCAATGGTGCAATAAAACACTGTGCAGCATTCACTTATACATTCTTAACAAAACAATGGTCCGAAGTGTGTTAGGGCTGGTTTGCAAAAAAATAACACCCTATTTGCAGGTCGTAACATTGTTTAGTCTTTAACAATCCAGTCAAATCCGTACTCAACGACAGTAAATGATTGTTTTGGGGCAATATATATACACTGCTCCTTTCCATAAGCTGCAAACACAAACTACTTTTATGCAGTACAACTGTGGTGAGAGCAAGCTGCTAGCCGATTGGTAGACATTGATCTACGCTGATTGGTAGAAATTAATCTAGGCTGATTCAACAACCGATCACAGCTGACCTAGACGTGGACAAATATGATTCGCAGACAAGTGGCTCGCATTTCCGAGAAATATCGAAAACGAGAAAGCAGAAGACTGCGTTTGTTTGCAAACAACCAATCAGAAGACCGCCTTCTTTCTGCGGGCAGAAGCCTATTAATGTACGTAAAATACATATAAATACCTGTTGGTTTTCGTAATAAAACTGATCTGTTGCCTGGCTCTTGTCTTCTGTTGTTACACAACAAAGTAGGTAATCAGTTGTGCTAATGTGATCATTAACTGTCCGAGATACTAAAAGCATTGTTTGAGATCAACTTACCATTCGATTTTTGTTGCAACTGGTACAGATGAGTTTTCCTTCAATAACTGCCATTTTCTTAGCAAGTTTGGCCTCCTTTTTCAAAGCTCTTCGTTTAAGGCGTTGTTCAGCTAGCTGAGTCTTTTTGGTTGATAGATTAATATCTGCCTCTTGAATATCTGTTCTATTGATTGAATCATTTTCTGCCAGTGTCTTTGGGCGTTCATACGGTTGGCATATCCAATGCGGATGTGACAGGTTGGTAAATTTATTACCAGTGCATAACTATTCCAAAAAAAAAAAACATAAAGTGAAGTAACTTACACTCTTAAAGCAAGTTAAGACTACCCCACCGGTAAATACATGTGCCAGAACTGAGTTTCCAGTATGAAACATTACATAAATGTGCAGCAGTTCAAGTTATTGAAAACAAAACACGTAGTTTAGCGAAGAGTCTCTTTTCGGCGAATTCTTTCACTTAGGATACATGTGATGTCTATGCAGCCCTTTCCAGAACCATTTTGGATATTCACGATTCTTAATACAGCTCTCGAAGAATTCCAATTTTGCATTTACTTCGACGAGTTTGACAGAGTGACGGCCGAAAAGATATCTTTGTTGAACTTCGTGTTCTCTTCTTTCTAATGTCCTCATGGCTATTTCCCACGATCTCAAAAGTGGTAAGGACCCTTCTACGTTACTCTGTCAAACTCGTCGAAGTAAATGCAAAATTGGAATTCTTCGAAAGCTGTATTAAGAATCGTGAATATTCTCAATGGTTCTGGAAAGCGCTGCGTAGACATTATATGTATCCTAATTCGGAAACTCTTCAACGTCACACTAGAAACGTCATCGATTTCATTAGTTCACGTATATTCGAATTGCAGAGAAATATATCACAGAGGTCTTCCGCTCTTTCTGAATTATCATCAAGCGAGTGACAATCGCCTAATGAACATATTATACTGGTGCAGAACAAAAGAGCTGAAAATGTTAAATCGAATTTGAACAAAAGCCTAAAATCCGTCGAAGTCCAGAGGAAGTTCCCGAGTGATCCTAATAAATTTGTCTTCAGTTACCATATCAACGCTAAGACTAGAAGCTCTATCTCTTAGATTAAAAATTCTGCGACGTAAATCTCAACAGCAACAGACTTCACACATACATTCAATTCGAAAATCTTATAAGTCAAAAAAATGAAATTACTCCAGTTTCCGACTCAGAATTTCTACATTTTAAGTAAGCAATCTTTGACTGCTGTAGTTAATACCTCATCTTGAAAGCTAAAGCCCAACGTCTCCTCACAAAGATTACAGACAACCCTAAGAACTATGAGACAGTAAAGATTTAATAGTAACAGGTCCTGACAAAGGTTTAGGAGTGGTTCTAATGGATAAAGATGTATGCATTATTAAATTGCCAACTCTTATATCAGATGACAACAAATTTTCCTAACTAAATAACGAGAAACATAGGACAGAATTGATTGAAAAACAACTAACGGATGTTCTCAAAAGAATAAAGAACGACCATCTGATAACTGAGGACATGTTCGATCACCTGAAACCGAAAGGATCAACTATTCCCCGATTCTACGGCATACCAAAGGTGTACAAACCTGGTTTGTCACTTCGACCAATTACAGACATGTCAGGGTCACCATACCATCCAATCGCCAAATAGCTGTCCGATATGTTGAAGCCTATAACACAACACTTATGTAAGTACTCCTTTCGTGGTATTTTTGAGTTTATTGAATGCATAAAAGATTTGAATGTAAATGGTAAACGAATGTTATCCCTAGACATCGAGTTTCTTTTTACCAACGTGCGACTAACAAACAATTTGCTTCCTGTGCAATTATATGGAGAACTCAAATATTAGCATCGGAATGCCAACATCGTATCTAAGAGAGTTGTTACTGAGATGCACGCTGAATGTACAATTTACCTTCACCGACGATATCTACAGACAGAAAGATGGGATCTCCTCTTGGCCCGCTGTATGGCCAGTTTGGAAAGCAGTATTTTAAAATAAACAATAAACAAATTATTACTGTAAAAAAATATGTCGACGATACCTTAAAAGTTTGCTACAATAACTCCAACTTTAATTGTACTTTACAAGAACTTAATAATTCGCATCTTTAGATTAAATTCACAATGCAATTAGAAAACGATTCAATTTCTGGACGTGAAATTAACAAGAAGAGATGATGGAACCCTGAAGAGATCCATTCACAGAAAACCAACGTGGAATGACCAACTAACGAACTTCTATAGTTGGATACCTGTGGACCGAAAACGAGCTCTCATAATCGCACTTACCAACCGTATAAAAGGAATCTGCAGTATAAGAATAAAACTTGGGCACTGTGGAATCTGCAGTAGTGATTGCTTGGAAGAGGAACTCCTATTCCTTAAAAATATCCTGGCTCAAAATGATTACCAGGCACGTTTTGTCGACAAGAACATGAAACTAAAGCCAAAAAGAGGATTATGCAGTTCGGCGCCGAAGAGAAATCTGAACTTCAGGGGAGATTTGGAAGCTGAAATCCTATAGATAAGAATCTCCAGCTCTATTAAAGACCTTCCTTGCAGCAACACTAAGAGTGTCATTCGCTAGCAACCCAATACTTCTGAACAATGCAAAGGACAAACTACCCGCATATGACCAATTCAATGTGCATATACCAGTTCAACTGCTTGTGCGGAGCTAGGTACATATGTCGTTGTATGCGCATCCTTCCGAAAAGTGTTAGAGAACATTACCCAGCATGGCTGCAAAGAGGAGGCACCGGTTCAATTAAAAGTGCCGTAATTGAACATCCGATCAACACCTCCCACAGCATCTCAACTGATTCATTTAGTCATTTACAAAGTAATCAGAAACCTACCAAAGGCAGTGTATATCCGACTTCTTTGTACTGCAGAAGCCCTCGCAATATGCATCAAAAAGCTGGAGTTGTGTGTTCAAAGGAAACTAGTCCAACCTTTACAACTACCACGGACCTAGGTCGTTATGTTCCCTTAGCCTTCTGTTTTACTTCTTATTTGTCTCTCTTCATTCAGTTCATCTCATTTTTTCAATTATAAGAACAGTTATTTCAAGTTTGTTTCCATGTTCTTCCTGCAATTATATTCCAATCCTGTGAAATTTTGTTTCTAAAACTCTCGTAATCCATATCAAGTTGAAAATAACTGTCACTTTATATTCGCCTTTGTAATCATGTGGAATTAAATAATAATTGCATCTATGTCAGTTTATGTATTTAAATACGATTGTACAGCTTGTGAAAGCGAAATCGCCGAAAAATATCTTTGATGAACTTCGTGGTCTCGTCTTACTAATGGGTGAGCATTGACTGTTAATCCTCGATTGATATGAATTCATAATCCTGTAATAAATAGGAAAGTCTAGTGCCCAGAAAAAAAATTTACATACATGAATAATTGAAATACCATTCATGTTTGTTACAGGCCAACAACAGTTATGCATTTTCAGAGATCTAGTGATTTCAGTACATAGTACGGCAGAATACTTTTAAGAATCAATTCATTGGCAGAACTGAATGAGTGCACTCATCACTTAGCATGAGCTGTGTCCAGACTTTCCGATGGCTTTGTTCCAAATAATCAGTTAGCTACTGAATAAGTATGCACAGACAATTAGTCACTGTTGTTATACACATTATTAATAGTAGTTAAGATGTTTTGATTTGAGTTAAACTACTTTTAGGATACCAGTTTCACTGAGATTATCTAACTAATGTAATGGCAAATAGAAAAATTATATCGATCATTTTAAATTAACTATGATCACTATCCTCAGTGTGCACTCACAGAACACTCATTCTGCATTCTTTGTAAGGCTTCTATTATTTCTTCAGTTGTTTGAGCTGACCCAATCGTTGGACGAAATTCTGAATGTTCATCCAACCTGTTTATGAAAAGAAAGAATAAATTTCAGCAACTCATTACAATACAAGACTGACACTAAACAGCATACAGTACTCCAAGTGTTCACAGTTCAAGAAGAAAATCCAGTCGATGGAATAGCACTTCATAACAGGGAAAAGTCATGTGGATGTTTACTGTAAGCTAGCATAATTTATAGATGCACAATGCAGTTGTTAAGACAGCTGAATTTCGATAAGTAGACAATACAATCAAATCCCAGTAGTTAGGATATGGTTGTCAAGTATCAGGATAGAAGCCACACTTACTGTGTGAGGATTGATGATACCAACCAGTTACCCAGGTTGGAGCAGCTGTTGGCTCGATTCACCACCATACTGATACACACAATTTGAGGCTGCTACCACCCCTTATGGTTGTAACCTATTCTGTTTTAAAGAGTTTCGGCCTTAATTTAGCTTCCTAAGTTTTCCCAATAGGCAAATTAGTCTTAATCTAATTATCTCCAGCAGAAAGTTATTCATCTGAATGGAAAATATCAAGTGCAGATAAATATATTAATTTTCTGTCAAATATTAAAACTTAGTTACATAAAATATAATCAGTTAGCCTGATATAGCTTTTTTTATAATAGCTTGATTTCGTACCGTATTATTGGTACAAGTATGAAATTTTCAGCATGTGATATCGGTAGCCCAAATTTAGCAAACCGACCAACTGATATCAGATGTGCATCGGCTGGGAATCGAACCCCGGACCATGTGCATGGTCGGTGAGAGTCCTGACCGCCAGTGTTAATAACTGGATGATGATTCGACAACAATTCATTGCTCATAATCTTCGCAATTTTATCCAGTTGTTAACACCGTAGCACTGTTTTATCCCAAATAAGTCTATCTAATATGGAATTACATCCTACCACAATGCCCAGATTCTATTCCTACAATGTGTGCTTTATATGTAGGTATCACATGTGGAATATTTCACATGTTAATTCCATTATGGGTAAATTTTATTTTGATAGAGTCTCACAGTATTATACAGTAATGTTTACTGATGACGTTTCGAGCACAATTTATTGCTCATAATCATATCAAGGTAATCACACAAGTTTCACATGTTAATAATTGTTTAAATAAAAATTACTTGGTGGTGATTGAAATGTAAGCTTTATTCAAAAGGCACTTACGTGAAGTGACAAAGTTTAAATATATGTCCTCTGATAATCTGTAAGGATGTAGGATATTTTTCAACAAACTCAAGGTACTCAAAGCACATAGTAAATACAGATGGTTGATGTCCAGAAAATAGAGCTGGGTTATGAAGATGACCTTCTGAAAAGATTAAATGGCAAAAGTAATGAGATAGGATTTAAAAATTGTATCCAACTGATTTCTACTAACGACAGTACTTCTGCATAATATTGTTAACTAATTAACACCTGAAGCCAAAACAAAGTAGGTATGTGGTAGTCTGATACAGACAATGTGTGCCAACGGAATACGATTCTCACATATTCCCACAGTTCAATACTACATTAACAACAGAATACGATATTATCTATTTGAACATTCTATTTGATGTTGTTTAATGTGAACCGAAATCACACGCCCGGTGATTGGTTAACGAATGTGAGCTGTATGTGTATAAATAGGGGTTTGATAAGTGGAAAAAATACCTTGGCTTCCGTGACTGGTCTTCCGTTGTTACACGTATCCATTAGTTTTAATCAAAATTGTATTGGATGAAATGAGTTTATTTTTGGAGTTAGAAATTTAATTTCATAGATCAACTCAGCATTGAGTGAAGGAAGTCAGACAAAAATAGACATTGTGCAAATGTTTGGTTCAAACTGTCAGATCGCACATGATCGTTAGTTTTAACGGTTCGCTCTTTGTTAAATTTGAATAAGTCGTTATAAGGTTAGGTTAATCTTACAAAATATGATCTGCTTGGAAAACATGGTAGGTGACAGAAGAAAACAATAGCTTATTGAAGAGCTTTATGTACGCAACATCGCGTTGTCGTCATAGAAGTTCCTCCAACACCTGGTTAAACAGTAATTCGATTATTTGGTCTACTATTTTTATTCACCTTGACAAGTGAGTACGCGATCAGCTATTGTGTGAACCATCATTGTTTCATGATAAACTTTTTCTTCTAGGTAAACTGAGACGTGGACAGCTTGGCAGCAATCGATAGAGTGGGGTGTCTTTTAGAAGACAAGCGGCAGTTTATATGTAATTGGTATGTCCGTTGTAGCAGCAACAAGAGATACAGGATTTTAATATATAAAAGAATCGACTTAGCAACAGAAGGCAGGAAATAACATTCCAAACACACTGATTAACATCATTTTGCAATGGTGGACACTATGCAGATCTTACTATTTTACTAACACTCATTCGTAATTTGTCTTAAAAAGAATCAACACTGTCCTCAGAGGTCTTCTCTGTAATAACCAGCGCCACTTCTCTACACGATATGAAGGATGGAGATATGAGGATTTTAAAGCTACTACAGAGCTAGTCGGTGTGTAGTAATCGAAGGTAGCAGTTTAAAGAGGACCGTTGAACGTTCAGAAGCCTGGTGGGAAATATTCGTCGTTACAGCTCAACATTCCGGCAGACACAAAGGAAGCCATGCAGAAGTTTAGAGTTTTTCTCGGTTAAAGGTCCGCTAGTATATGCAGTAACAATAGCAACTCTTCTAGGAGGAAACACACTTGAAACAGTATATTCTTCCTGGATGTTGATCTCACCAGAATGACAGATGGATATATTTAAAAAGAATACTTGAACTGACCAATACACCACTCCCATAGTTCTATACCGCTTCAGTACTAAAAAAGCTAGCAGTATCTTAGCTGCAGAATCTTTTGATCTGCATAGATAAACAGATGTGTAAGCTCAAGCATATATTCCAAAAAACGGTTATACAGAGAACTCCCTATATATGTATGTCGAGATCTAAAGACAGGGTAATGATGGATACGATGAATAAAAAAACATATCTAAGAGTTTTTTTCCTTCCCGTTCCCAGTGGAACATAGGGCTTCAAGCTAGTGGCTTGAAGTTTCTGTAGCAGTGTTTAATTTCTACAGGATGGGGTTGCTAGCCTCATGCCCAACCTTTCCTCTTTACCAGCATTATTTCTGGCTTAGTGAGGTAAAGGAGTGCGTCGGCCGGGGATCGAACCTCAGACCAAGTGCATGGTCGGCGAGCGTCCTAACCGCTATGCCACCGGCGCACATATCTTAGAGTAAGTTCATAATAGTATCACAGCTGGTTGACGCATAATCGTGGGTCATAATAAGTTACAGAAATAGAAGGAAAACTTTTAGTAATCTACAACTCCAAATGCAAAGATACCTGCACTCATAACTGCATCAACTTCCGTCATGTGTAAACACCGATGGACATCCGACAGATACTGGATGTTCCCGTTGGCGATAACTGGTATTTTCACAGCTTTTCTAAAAAAAATAAAAATATACGATTGCATACTGTTCGAAAATACTTAGCAAACACTGGTTGAATTCAAATTTCAATACACATACATAATTATTATGTCTGATTTGCTTTTTAATGAATTAATAGAAGAAAACCTACTTACCAAGCAAAATCATACTGACTTATATATTTTACATGCAAAAATACTTAGTATCACAATGTCTAATATAAACACAGATAATATCAAATAGTCCTAAGTGTTGGTGGAAGACTATTGACTAGGTGTAGATCTGACTGAGTCGAATGTTTGCACATTGATATCTTACGATAATCGTGTCCTTCATGTTGTACACCAGTCCTTACAAAAATTATGGAACAACAATTCAATGCAAGTCCCGATTTCAATTTCAAGCTCCAAAAACTATTTTCACCTATTCCTTGATGAAAAAATATTTCAACAATCAATTCTTTGTCCTTACGCTAATTTTGTTATTCTCATTCATGAACTGTATTGTCTTACTTTATCCTCTTTACTTTGTATTCTACCTTTAAATTGGCCATCTGCTCGTGATTGACGGAACATCAATTTGTTTGTATCACCTCGAGTCGCAAAATACTTGTTTTAGAAAAAACCTTATGTACACTGTGCCCTCCAACACGACTATTCTATCATCTTGCTCTTCGTTTAAGCCAGCCACCTCTAAATTTCACACACCGAAGAGAATTAAACGACAAGTAGGTATGACCAGAGCCCTTGAGAGTCGAGACTAACTTCCAACAGAACTACCGTTATTATGCTCCAGAAGTCTACTCAGAGCCACTGAAGACTAAACCTCAATAGATCATGCTGCAATCAGCTACTAACAACGTCGGTAAACAGGACTGTCGATTCTTTTAGAATAGGTTTGCCTAAACTTTGATCATATCTTAATTTGTGCTAACTGTCTGTATTTTGGTTGATCTAAGCAGATTGGCTGCATCCAACTATTGTCACATTAGTTGTTTATGCTTCAGACAGACGTCACTGGATATGCGAACTCACAACTTGCAAAATTCTGTGTGGAGGACAAGACAAAAAATCTAAAGTCTGATGTCGGGCTGTGGTGAAATCTACTTATAATTCAGTGAAACTGCGGCAAACCAACACTTGAGGAATTCTTAGCTAGCCTACATTGCTATTACTCTCCATTTTAAACTGCAATAATCAGTTATTCGTTAACATTGATTTACTAAACTCAGCGGAGGTCCGAAAATAATTTACAGACTTAGAGGAACACATGAAGAACTAATTCTTAATAATAAAGATGTCTTTGATTCGTCGGAGGGAACTGTATTTTGGAATTATCAGCATTCTGAAATTCCTGTGAAAAATACCTTAGGCAGAGTTAAATCAAACAAATACCTAGCATCACTTTTCTTAGACGGTAGTAAACATATAACAGGTTGCCCAAATACGTCAGTTCAAATAAATCAGCTCATTTAATTCTGCGGACTGCTCTGAAGGATGTCTGTGATAATGAAGATAGGTTACCTACATGACAACTGTTTCACCCCGATGATATCGTCTTACTGTTGAATAATAAACAGCCAAACGAAATTGCACCTAACTCTTTAGTGATCAGTATCTATAAACATGGTAGTTGCATTGCATAATTACAGAATGCTGTTGTAAGAAAGCTAGTTCCTATGTCCTCACTCTGGCGAATGAGAGCTAAAATTAGTCATAAATTTCGTGTATGTTGTTGTAAAGTCACTGGTGGTAGATTAATAAGTGGTATTTTTGGTGGTATATCGAAACTTCTGTCAGACGGTTGGAAGTAATCAGCAGGAAGCGTTGAAATCAGGTTTCGTGCTTGTTGGCACTCGTTTGTAAGGCGTTTCTGCAGTCCTGAAGGAATTAATACTCCTTTTGAGATTCGAAGCCGGGTCAGAGACATTACCAAGGAGCTAATCGGTCTTGCGATTGGTCAATCAAATTATATCGGAAGCCAAAGCAGCATACGATAAGCAGGTTCTCTGCTGGTACCATTGTGGTATTAGCCTCTTTATCAAAGGTTGGTTTTACAATATTACTATGCCCTTTGTTTTTAAACCTGAACTCTTTGAAATGAGGATTTGCGGCGAATTTGTATATTGATTCCTGTCTCCGTAGGGCTGCTTTTATCAGGTAACGACGATATGAAAGCGATTGTATCCGACAGCGCTTGTTTGGGTAAGGTGTAAATCATATTTCGATATTATATGACAGCGGCTTCGACGGTATGAAAGTGTGTTACAACTTTCAATCCAGCATCTTTCACACAGCTCACAATTCGATAGCCCGGGAATTGGTTACAAAGTAGCGAGAAGTGGTTAGAGTATAATGCAGAGCCGTATGATGAAGGATACTTACATTTGGGAGACATCTTTTGATGCATTACGAAATCATGTCTCAGTGATATGAGATGTGATCATACATATTTCAGAATCCAAATTAATGGTCACATCACTGAAATGTTCTTATGTCTTCTGTCGAAATTAATGAGCGACAATGAAAACTCTTTGAATGTACTGAAGGAGTATACATATCTACTTTATACGTTTTACTCTCAACTGTTTCCTTTTACTTATGTTATTGTCCTATAATTTTGTCTTGGCCATTTCCTGATGGCCATATTGTACCGAGTATGTGATGACATATATAATAATAACACCTAGCAGTGTAATTGTCACTTACTAAAACACAAGATGTTAACCCAGGAAGTGATTATATATAGACCTAGCCCAGTGAGATTGTCAGTTCAGGGTCAAAGAGTTCAGAGGGAACTATGTTTAGATGATATGGTTTGGAATCAATCGTGGTGTACTCATACCTGACCTGGATCTTAATTGTAAAATCTCTTCACTTTATTTGGCTTATTTCTATCTACTTTTACTTTACAAAACTCCATGACTTGCAATCTTATTGATTTTCATTTAGTGTGCGGATATGAGATGTTGTAACTCGGACCACTACGCAGTCGATTCATTGTTTAAATATTGTATGCAGAATAATATAGGAAATACAGCAGCTAACAGTAAAACAGATTTGCTTCAGCATAACTAGTGCATCTTATCGAAGAAACTTACTTCACTGCTCTTATTTGATCCCAATCAGCCAGCCCAGTTTTCTGACCTTTCATTTCCCTTGTGCGCCCATGAACTGTAAGCATTGAAGCTCCTGCTGCTTCAAGAAACTTGGCATAATTGACTGTTTGTTCAATATCTTTAAATATTCTAATTTTGCAAGTGACCGGTACACTTAGTTCTAGCGAAGCTTTGCTGACTAGTCAAATCAAAATCCATACAAACACGGTAATAGTAATTATACAAATTTAATGCAATAACTCATATATGAATTACCATTGCGTTAGTGATTCAGTATTAGAATATATTGTTGCGTTCTTCATATAAATATACTACATTTAAAGTGGTTACTTATCAGTCAGTTTGTTCAGAAACATCTATGACTAAGGCATTAAAAAGAATCAAAGGGTACCACATTGATGTAGAATGAATATAGCTCAGTATCATAATTATTTAGACAGTTTGATAAACCCTCTAACAATAAAGAAAAGTGTAAGAGTTCATGGTATTCTGAGTACCTATATTACACGACTGGAACAAATATGTAGGCTGTTGAGGATTATTTGAAATATAGTGCAAGATAAAATGCAGTTCAAATCATGAAATATACACGTTTGATCATATGGAGTAATAAAAAGACGGTTGCAGTGAAGAAAATCTTCTTTTCGACGAAGTCATTAACTAGACTGTACATTCGTGTATTTATAATAAATGGGTGGGAAAGTTCCAGAATAATTTCCGGTCAAGGGTCAAATTATTAAAATTACAACTAGGAATTAAAATGCCATAATAAGCAGGGGGACGGATAAAACTCAAACAAAGTAGTATCATAATTACTGAGATTAACATATTGCGCAATTAGGGGTCAGAAATAACAAAATAGGCAGGATAGTTGGATAAAAAAACCTAGTGGGATCGTAACCAATGTGACAAATAATTTTTTATGCAATTAGGGATTCCATATGTAGAAATAATAGAATGACAAAATATAAAGGAAGCTCAGGTATGAAATTATGATAGTGTAAATAGGGACTAAGAAAAACTTGAAAATAACATGAATAAACGGGAAGTATGGATAAGAAAGGTAATGGGATAGCCGTAATTAAAAGAACTAACTGTTTGTGATGGCAATGGTAGGGACAAGAATTGGACTATTTCTTTTGGATATATAGCGTGGGTTTAAGATTTTGGATGGCCAGTGTCTCGGCTATGCCCAGATGTCTTGATTTCACTCCCTTTGATAGGTTTGGTCGAATCTTGTATATGATTTTAAAGGATTTTTGGAATGGCGCTGAATGTCCTGAGTTGACCAGACGTTCTGTCACTGAACTATATACACATTTTCATTCTCCTTTTAATAGCCAGGCTGGATAGTGTTCATGAACGCGTTTTGCAAGTTGGCGCAAAGTTGACGACCGTGTACTCAGCTCCGCACGAGCAAGTAAACTGGTATATGCACGTTGAAGTGGCCCAATGCGAAAGCTTGTCTTTCGCGTTCTGGCTGAATAGTTTGCTGCAGGAAAACGTCAGTCTTGGGCTTGCGGCGAATTACGTTTGTATCAGAGATTTGCATAGGCGTTTACGAAGGATTTCTGCATCAGTGTCACCTTTGCATTCTAGATTTAGCATCTTTTTCGAGAATGACTGGACTTGTTCAGAAGCCTTCTTTGATTTGAGATTCTTGTCTATGAACCTAGGCAGATAGCTGTTTTCCATCAAGGTTCCTCGTAGATTACGCATATCTTCGTCAACCACTTCCTCGCTGCATATCTTCCGAATCCTTGAGGAAAGAGCGGATATAAGGTTCCTCTTTCTGCTTAGGGGTACGAAGCTTTGAAAATTGATGAACTGCCCGCTCTCTGTACGCTTTTTGTTTATGGACTTTTTCAGAGAGTTGTCAGCGTTTCTTCTCAGATGCAAGTCGAGGAAGTGGAACATTCCATCGGATTCGGCTTCAAGAGTAAAGTCGATGTTTTGGTGGGCGTTGTTGAAGACCTGAAGTAAGTTGTCAAGGTCCAATTTCTTATCACAAACGATGAAAGTATCACCAATGTATTTCTTGTAAACATGGAGGTCAGTGATAGTCGATGACAAGGTTTTTCGAGGCTGGCCATAAAACAGTCGGCCAGGAGGAGTCCCAGTGGAAAACCCATTGCTACGCCATGTTTGTCTGTAGATTTCATCGTGGAATCTGAAGTAAACGTTGAAGTACAACGTAGTGACAACTCCTTTACATAATGGATCGGTATGCTGACATCTATGTTGTTGTATTGGATGAAGTCACACAGAAAACATATGGTTTCTGTCACTGGAACATTGGTGAAGAGGGAGACGACGTCCAGGGAAACCGTTTTTATCTGTGAGGTTGACATTTTTAACTGAATCGATGAAATCGAATGCGTCACGGAGGTTGTATCTAGACAACTTTACTTCCACCGGTTAAAAAATTTCTACCAGCCACTTTGCGACTAGGTGATATGGGAAATTAATAATATCTAATTTGGGGCGGAGTGGGACGTCTGTTTTGTGCACTTTGGGTAGTCCGTACATTCGTGGCGATGTAAAACCAGATAGGCGAAGTTGTTCATATAGTTCTGCATTAATATTGATTTCTTTGCTTTGATTATAGCTTGATTCCACACAGTATTTTGGTACAACTATCGAATTTTCAGCATGTAATAACGGTAGCCTATATTTAGCAGGCAGGTGTGCATCGGACCGAGATCGAAACCGGACCATGTGCATGGTCAGCGATCGTCCCACCTGCTGTGCGACCGACGCAGGTTGATTCACCTTTCATTTTATTCAATAATTTGGTTAGTTGGAGATCCGTCTGTTCAGTTGGATCTTTTTGAATCGTTTGTTATTGTTTCTCCAAATAGTCTGGCTTGTTGAGCACACCAATTTCAGAAGCTTTGTCTGATCGAGTTATTATCAGGTTTTCATTTGATTTTAATTCTTTGAGTTGCTTTCGATGTTCTTTAGAGAGCATATTACGAAGAGTAGGTTTTTGTTGATGTAATCGAGGCGACAATTCAAAATAGTTGATTTGAAATGTTCTGCACGGTCATATTAGATTGGGACCAGATCATTCGTCTGGCTAATCAAATTCTCGTATTGGACTTTGGTATACAAGTCGTTTACTTTTGACGATGCATCACAAAATTTCGGTCCAAGTGACAAGTTGCATTTGAATCGGTGAAAGTGAGACACCAAAAAAATGGAATATATATTTCTCAGGACAAGACGGAATAGCTGTTTCCTTGGTGACGGATTTTAGGATCTGATGGTGATACCTTCCTTTCTCTTCTCCGTAACTGTATCGGCGTAGCGCTCGAATGACGTACGTTCATCAACAGTCAAATCGTACAGAACATGGGAGCTAATTGAGACATTCTGTTCCAGTTCAGCTAATCTGGATCGGACGGCATTGATGTGATTCTGTGTGTCTTCTCAGTGTGCGTGAATTTGGAGATATATGGTTTCGTCTCAGATTTTTCCAGAAAGCTTTCGGATATTCATGCTTATGCAGACAGCTCTACAAGAAGGAAATCTTCGCATTCGCTTCAGAAACTTGTTCAGTCCTGTTACAGTCGAACGGCCCCTGATGTTTTTCAAACCCGTGATTTCTACGTTTACCCGTCAGGCTTGCTGAAGTGAATGCGAAGATTTCCCTCTGGAAGAGCTTTCTGGATAAGCATGAATACCCGAAAGCATTCTGGAACTTTCTCACCCACTTATTATAAATCCACGAATGTACAGCCTAGTTGATGACCTCGTCGGAAAGAAAATTTTCTTCGCTGCAAAGTCTTCTTTATTATTCCCTATAATGCAATTCACTGCTGTGGAGGTAATATACACAACATTAATTACTGGCACATACGACAATTAACTGAGATTTTAAAGTTTTCGCCAACACAGTAGTAGGAATTCAACAAGAGAAATTATGATTAAAGATAACCAACGCAGCAGTTGACGACCTACATACAGTTGCACTCTAATAAATCTCATTTCTTAATGTATAATGGCAAGAATTAGGCAATCAGCGATTTGAAATTTTCGGTGGTCAGACATTTGTAAATGGTATCTTTCAAACTATTTTGTAATCGTATGTTAGAGATTGATCACAATGTTCTATGGGAACATTCAGTGATATCGCTGAACTTCACAAGTACTGAGAATAGTTAGACATCAGCTATTTAACTTCACATGGAATTAGTGTCGTAGCATTTCTCATCTCTGATGAAGCGAGAGAAATCCACTGGCATTTAAGTGATGGTTTGTAGGGATTTGATTGGTTTCAGGATTTCATCATGAGCTGATGAAGAGTCCCAAACTGGGACGAAACAGTTGTTCAATACTCCCAGGTTTTCCAGTGGTTCTCTAACTTATGTAAGCTCATGATGAAATCCTGGAACCACTGGCATTTATTAAATCTGGGTATTAGCCATTATCTCTACAGTTAACTGGATACTATGCCAGGCTGTCTCGAGGTTAGTATTTCTACCAACCTCAGATACAAACTATCCCCTCCTTAAATAAAGTGTTTTCACCAAGTTGATGACGTATCGGTTTCGTAGCTGCCTGTCGGAGGATATGCATTCATCGAGTGCAACTTCTCATAAGGCGAAAAATGAAGAAAAGAAAATATTAACCCAATGGCATCGAAATAAAAAGTATTTGTGCTATGTCAGCGCAGAGGCTAGAAGACAGCTCGACGCCCATGAAGTAAGATAGGGATGTCACTGAGGTGAATAGCTACGTTGATTTACAATATTATGTGGGTTTTGACTAACCTACTATTCCTACCTTGATTGCAACAGGGAAACTGTAATAAAATCTAACAAAGTTGGATTTTTTACAAAGTTTTCGATACCATCAAGCCTACAAACTACACTTAACACCCAAAATTGAGCAATTCTCGTTATACAACTGATAAAACTGATACCGCTTTTATGAAATACTGCTTTAAAAGGTCACTAGAAATCTAGGTAAAAAATAAGTAATTAAAAAACATCACAGTAAGGACCAATAGCCAATATAATAAGTCAGTCTAAGCGAAAATGTTTAGGGTGATCCGGAATAGACAAGGCCGACCTCTTTACAACTTGTAGTATAATGACAATGAGAAGAATAAATTTCAAGATAGGTATTTGCGAATACGAATTCAAATATAGGTATGAAGTGACTATGCTTTCGTATTAATATTCAGGGATATAAATCAAATCACAAGTTTATCCCTTTAACTGCAACACCACGTTTTATTTGACTACCTAACACCGTTATATATAAGATTAGGAAATCTGCAGCGGACCTTATACGCCGAATTAAGCTGTTTCTAGGTCAGTCTAAATGGTTTAATTTAATGCCCAAAGCTATTAACCCCAGTATAATTTATGGTGTTGTTAAAGTTCATATGTTAACACACCCCATTAGACATATAGTTGATTTTAAAAATTCACCTACGTACGAATTATCTAAATATTTAGCCATGATATTAAATCCCCTTAAAAGACACTCAAAATCTAGACTAACAAATTCTTATGAACTAAAATGTAGGTTAGATCATTTGAAATTATACAGTGAGCAAAAAAATGGTTAGTTTTGACATTGTCAGTTTATATACACGTATACCAATAAATATGGCCATAGAGGCAATCAGAAATGAAGTCATTTCTGAATAAGAACTTGAACTTAGAACAAAAAAGCCACTGGAGCACATAATGCTGGGAATGCAGCTATGCCTGACTTCCACAGTATTTAAATTCCAGAGGAAAATATACAGACAAACTGAGAGTGTGGCCATGGAGTCACCAATATCCCCGGTTGTGGCAGATATATCCATGGAGAGGTGGGAAAGCATAGCGATTGAAACGTTCAGCCCCACCACAAAAGTATGGTGGAGGTATGTAGATGGCGCATTTACTGTACTTAGAACACAGGGTATGGATAGATTTTTCGATCACATTAACTCGACGGTTGAAGCAATTCAATTCACTCATGAATTGGAAAATCAGGAAGGGGAGCTCCCAATGTTAGGTTGTAGCGTAAAAAGAAAGATGAGATGTTAAACACTAGTATTTACAGGAAACCCACACATTCAAACAGATATTTGGATTTCCAAAAATCCCATCCTATGTCATTGACAGAGCACAAAAACTAAGTAGTGCCAAAGAAAATCTAAGACAGGAAGTGAGGCATGTAAGAGAAGCTTTGAAAATTAATAATGACCCTGATAAGTTAGTTAGAGGGTATGTAGGGAAATATAAAATGAATAATGATAGATGTGATAGTGATAATAATAATAATGATAACAATAATATTGATATTAATGAAGACATACATGCCAAACATGCGCGAGACAACACTAACAATAAGGAATCTAAATCATCAGTAGTAATTCCAAACAAGGAAGGAATCTCGGAAACTTTACGCAGAAATCTTAACAAGGCAGGAATAAAAACGGCATTCAAACCCACAAACTCAATTAGAAACAAGCTTTGCCGGTTAAAGGATCCTGTGGAGCCCTTTAAAACAAAAAACGATTTAGTTTATCTAACACCCTGCAATGATTGTCAGGTCAAATACATAGGTCAGAGTAGTAGAACAGAGGCAGTCAGACTAGCTGAGCACAAAATCCTAGCAAAATCTAGATCAGTTGACCCGAATAAGATAAGAAATCTAGAGAATAGTTCAGCTATAGCACTACATGCAATTACACACAAATACAGCAGGATGGGATGAGTTCTAAAATCTTATGTAACAGGGTGAAGGAAGAAATTGATAACCGTAGCTTTGTTTATCGAACCAACTGCAAATACGTGCAATGGGAATGATTTAACACCTGTCCCAGATATCTGCAAAATTCTACTACCTCTACAAATAGGAGAGAACAAAGAAAACTATAAAACTCAAGTTTCGAAGTCATGTGATTACAACTGGTATGATTATGAACGATAAATTTTGTTCGAAACGTCATCCAGTAAATATTACTGTTACACTGTGTGATACGTCTAATAAACAAATTAATATTTTGAACAAGTGAATAACTTAGGTTCTACTATTATAATTGCGATCAGACATCCCAATTTTAAGTATTAAGATGCATTCAGCCAACATAAAACCGTTTTTCGATAAAATCTTACCAATTGACTTAATCAGGTCCCATTCTTCCTGCAAAAATGCTCCATAATGACCTCTTTTAGCAATTCCTTGAGGACACCCAAGATTTAAGTCAACTGCATCACAATGTTGTTGTACTAATTTAGCACATTTCACAAACTTCTCTGGAGAATTAGCACAAAACTGTAAGATGAAAAAGTAAGTTGATAAACACTTACTTGAACGATGAGTGGCCGGTCTTCTGGTGCAAACTGCAGGCAGCTTTCGCGATATTTCATGTTGGTTAGAAAAGAAGTTGAGTTTATCATAGGTGTGAACGACAGCTGCACCCCATATTTCCGACCTAGCATTCTCCATGCCAGTTCACTCCCATCAACCATGGGGGCCAAGACATATCTAGGCGAACCCCATCTATCCAGCAAGCCCATCAAGGTTACCAGATCAGTGCGACAACGGTCGACCAATGACCTAGAGTCAATATCCAATGTTTTAGTGACATTCACGTGTAAAACCACAAACCACTGATCACCTGTTGTTTCCTTTTCGATGTTACAGAGTGTATCTGAGTCTCCAGGGAATCCCAGCAAAACATATCTATATTCTTACCTCCTTTAGCTTCGTTAAATTCAGTGAGTTTTGTAGAGAAGTTTAAGGTTGATTTGATTAAATTATCAATGCTGAGATTGACAATCCTAAAGGAAGCTTCACAATAAACCCGTAAGATGCGTAGGTAATAATGGTTTGAATGCGACAACTAAGGACAGAAATTGGACAGTACCGTTTGATACACTAACATACTAGACAGGTTTGTTTGGTGTTAGACATAGCCAGAGGAAGCGGATGTATTATTTCAAGTTAGACTATTATTCGTTGCGAGAGAAACATGTGGTGTTGGTATTACATCTTCACCGAACTCGGTTCTGTATATCTTACATCAAAAGGCTCTCGTAAGCTTCCTTTTCCTTTCTTCTGGGCTGAATTCGATGATGTCTTGGAGACCCACTATTCGGTCCACGCATGTCATGTTTTTCCTGAATTCGACCCTCCACTGATGCATTTTCCCATCCACAGTATTCGTTACGGTCTTCAATTTGATGTGGCCTAGTATTTTGATTCCGAAGGGCAGAAGCATGATTTCAAGTTGCTCTTAGTAAATGTTTGTTTCGCCTGTCTTTGGCACTTTTCGTAACCTAGCCTTGCTTCAACACTTTCTGCACAAGTTACGTGAGCATACTCGATTGGACTTCTTGAACAACTCCCATTGCTCCTTAGGAATTCTATCTGGGTAGGAGAGCATTAACGTGTAGAAAGCAGAAAGCAAGAAGCTGCTTTTTTAGAGTAAATATGAGTGAAAAAACAGACATAATTACTAACATATATATGTTAATATAGTAGCATCAATTTAGGTATCCAGTCCACCCTGTATTCGCGCCAGAGTTTTGCCAGTAAGTTTTCACTAGTCAGAAGTCCAGCTCATTAAACTCATTTGCAAGTTTTAATAGGTTTCGCCTTGGTATTTGCGCTGTCCACTACCGTTTGCTGAAGCCATTCCTTCACTGCTTGGGGAAGATCGCTGTCACGATAGCCCGTCAATATTAATACCATAATATTAACTTAGTGAATAACAAAGTGTTCCGGTTACCCTGTAGTAACTTACGGTGTTCTTTCTTATGGTGGACAGAGGAGTGGTTGCGTTCTATCACAACTTACCGACACATAATAGCAGGAGTCCAAGTCCTTGTGTATACATACCGCTATTGATTGTTGTCGTGAGGGAATTGGCCATTAGTTGGCCATTTATAGCTGAAGTTTGTCTACAAATGGAGCCCGGTCAGGGTTTTTCCTATCAGAACTAAGATTTATAAACTCTCTAGGCAGTCTCAGTGTGTTTCTCAATACCATTTCGGAAGCGGAACATCAGGCATCACCTATCATTGCTGTTCGGATACCGATAATTACGATTAGTAGGATTTCTGTCCAGTAAGTAGGGTTAGAGTGAGATGTAAATACAGTCTTCAGTTCTCCATGAAAGCGTTCTGTCATCCTGTTGGCTTGATGTTGATATGCTGTGCAACCGATTCTGTGTGACCCAAGGAACTTCGATAAGTTGTTGTAGAGCTCTGACCCAAATTGAGCTCCTCTCTCAGTTGTTATTACTACTAAAGGCACATGGCTGCCCGCTGTTGAAGAAAGGCTTTCGCTACAGTTTTCCCTGTGATATCAGCAAGTAGTACAGCTAACGGGAACCCGGTGAGATGCACGTGAATAAGTGATTCCGTCCGAATACGGCAGAAGACCTACTAAGTCCATGTGAACATGGTATTTTTCCGTTTTTCTCTTTGTAGGGGTAAGTGAGAAGCTTGTGGTCTATGTAGATCGTGGATGGTCTGGCCTCTACCGTGTGACAAAGATGTTTAACTGCTGAGCAGATCGCTAGCAACTCTCTGGTAAAGTTAGAACACCTCGTTTCCACAGGATTAAGCCATTTGGAGAGGCATAATATCAGTTCCCAGCCATTTTCGACTGGCTGGTTTGAAGCCGCTCCCACGGCCTTATCTGATGCGTCTAACATTTATGCAAAGGAAGCATCTGGGTTGATATTTTTCAGGGTTGGTGCTTTTCTGAACGCTCCTTTCATCTGTGCAACTGCATTGGATGCTTCGCTTGGCAACTGTGAGTCTTAGTTTTTCCCTTAATTCATCAGTCAGGGACTGCTTTTATTGTGCACAGTTGAGTATAAAGCGTCGAAAGGAACTGATCAACATCAGTAAACTCAGAGGTTGTTAGAGTGCCATTTGAAGATATCTACCTCTTTGGGCATTAGTTCGACCCCCGTGCTGTCGGTAACATGTCCCAGGAATTCTATTATTCTGGCCCCGGAAAAGCGCTGCCGCATTCTTCTAGTTCGCTTAATACTACCAGAATGTGATGTTCATGTTTCTTCATATCCGGGCTAGCAATGAGTGGGTCACGTACGTATGCTTTGTAGGACGGCAGTTGACGAAGCAAGTCATCCGTGAATCTCTGGAGAGTTTGTTCAGCATTCCGGGGGCTAGATGTCTCACGCACGAACTCATATTGTAATGACAGAAGACAAAGGTAAGGCAACAGATCGTTTATTGAGAATATCAAGAAATATTTATAGATTTTTATGTACGTTATTACTAGCGTTATTGTTAGCAGGGAAGCAACGTCTTCTGATTGGCTGTTTTCCTGCTGAACGTTATTCCGTCATCTCTTCATGGCCGTTTCTTAGAAAGTCAGGCCATATGTCTGCGAATCATATTTGCACACGTTAACTCTGCTGTGATTGGTTAGTGAGTTCCTCAAATCAACCTTGAGCTTTGTTAATGTTTTGTTCCCATAACTCCGATTCGGGACGTTAACACTAACGTCAATTATTGTCTGCAATTTCGTTATGCTCTCACCACAATATTATCCAAGTGGGGTTGTAATAGCTGTTTCAGATATATCCTCCGCAGCCACAGGATTCTGTGGTGGGGGTAAACGAAGTCAATTTTAGCAAATATTGTGGCAGCCTGAAGGCTATAGGTAAAGCTTTTAATATTTGATGTTGCGTACCTGTCTGGGAAAATTCGCCTATTTAAGGGCTCAATAATAACCATGAGGGTGCCAATTAGTTTGATTCTTCTTAAGTACCACGTGTAACGGAGAAGCCTATGACCATTCGAAGGCTGAACAATCTCTGACAGCAGCTTGTGATCAAACCCAGCTTTCGCTATTTTTCACTAGACTGGGACCAATCCTCTTTGTTTTACGAATACTGGAGGTCCATGCGTCCTAATAGTATTTATTATTATTATTGTTTTTTTAATTCCTAGGGGAAAATAAGGCTTCAGCCGCGCGTCTCCATTGCGTTCGGTTCTCTCCTAGAATCTTCACCTGGCTCCAAGTCTGCCCACATGCTTTCATCTCCTCTTCACATGACCCTTGCACTGACTACCAACTCGCCGCTTCCCTTTCTGGTTCCACTCGAGGGCTTGTCTAGTGATGTCACTTGATGGTTTCCTCAGAGTATAGCCAATCCATCACCATTTCTTCCCGCCTATTTGTTGCACAATCGGTTCCTGGTTGGTTTGCTCCCACAGGTTTCATGACCTCGCTATGGAGCTGGACTCGGTTTCTCGCAGTTTTACTGTGAAGTCACCAAGGTTGTAGTTAACATCCATATGCTTTCTTGAATTTAGAATGAGTTGAGCGAAATACAGTCAAAATAGACAAGAGTAACCACTGGGTAATTGGAGGGAGCAATAATAAGCCCATTGCTGCTTTTGAGATTTATAGAGGAATTCTTAGGTAACATTCACTCAAGGAATTATTTCATGCCGATTAAGTAACCCCGTTGAGGGCTGTGAGAAATGAATTAAAATGGGAAAATGAGCCATAGAAATCGATTAAGCTTCATAATTTACTAATACCCGGCAATTTTCATCCGTAAACTACTAAAATAGGGATGTTCCTTGGGCTTAAACTGAAGTATGGTGTGCACTTGGGCTGCTGCTGGAGTGCTAAGAAAGAAGAACAAGCAGTCAAAACCATCGCAACTATCTGCCTGGTGCATAGGAATATGTGAGATGTGCCCAGAATTTCTGTGGACTTGTGAAAACATGGGTATTGCCTGAAAATTTCCAAAATTTTCTAGATGACCTTAATGTAATCACCCGTTGGAGAGGAGAATCAAACGTACCATCTTAATTGATTTACCTTAGGGCTTATCACACATGTACTTCTCTGCTTGTCAATGTTCCAGCTACATCTCCAGCAGATGCCATCCACATAAGTCTGGAAAATTACGGAAAATAGTACAGATAAGCATACTTAAGGGCTGGGGCAACAAGATTAAGGACGATACAACAGCACAAAACATTACACTAATTACTAAACACTACGCCATTCTATAAAAATTTATTGTCTCAATTACCGGAACACAAATTCTGTTCTTTCTTTCCCCGAACGCGTTTTATGTACATGTGATTCTACAGTCCTACATATCATAAGCCAGATCTCCATGCCATGCTTACCATTGATTTACTATTATTATTATTGTTCCCTTGGGTTCCTAGTGGAACATAGGGCTTCAACTGCACACCTCCACTTGCTTCTGTCTTCTGCTGTACTTTTCACTTGCGTCCATGTTATTCCATACTGTTTCAGCTCCTCTTCACACGATCTCCTCCATGTCACCCTTGGACGTCCCACTCACCGCTTCCCTTTCGGGTTCCACTCGAGCACTGGCCTGACGCGCGATGTCACCCAACGGCCTCCTCAGCGAATGTCCAATCCATCGCCACTTCCCCCTGCATATTTGTTGGGCGATTGGTTCTTGTTTTGTTTGTTCCCATAGTTTCTTGTTGGTGATTCTTTCCGGCCATCTGATCTTGAGTATAGAACGAAGACAGCTGTTGATAAAGGTCTGCAACCTGTTGAAAATATTCTTGGTGACCCACCAAGTTTCTGAT